TTTTTTTTTTTTTTTTGCAAGGAGAAAAGGCAAGGAGAGAAGGCAAATTATGGTGAATAGATCATGATGATAAATAATTGCAAAGTTGGACTAGAAAAGACAAGTACTTATAATTCAGAACAACATAAAAATTTTTTCAGGTATAAATAAAAACCAGAAAACAGAAATTTAGATATGCGTTCAAAACTGTGGGGCATTTGGGGGGCAGGGGGCATGTATTATACCATGATTGCTACAAATTTACATCAGATAAACTTCTGAAACAAGGAACACATATAGAACGAAATTACAAGTTACCTGTAACAATTAAATGTATTTTGAAAATAAGTGTCTTAGTTACTAGACTCAATCAATATTTGGTAAAATTCATCTGATAATATTATTTTGAGGCAAAAAGGACTGAAGAGCAAAACCTTCTCACAGAGGACAATGAAGTAACAGCCATCCTGATTTCCTGAACAAGAAGCTCAAAAATCATCCTGAACTAGACAATTCAACTGCTTTAAAATAAATTCATTCAAAGCCCACTCTAATGGATTGAATACTGTCCCCCCCAAAACTCATGTTCACCCATAACCTATGAATGTGGCCTTATTTGCAAATAGGATATTTGCAGATATAACCAAGTTAAGATGAGGGCAAAACAGATTTAGGGGGGATCCTAATTCAGTGTTTGATACCCTTATAAAGAGGAAAACTTACACCCAGAAACACACAGGGAGAATGCCATGTGACATGGAAGGAAGAGGTTGGAGTGACAAGCCGACAAGCCAAGGAATGCCAAGCATTGCTGCTTCTCCAAGAAGCTAGGAGAAAACATGCAAAAGAGTCTTCCACTGAGCCCCCAAGAAAGATTCACCCCTGCTGACACCTTGATTTCAGGTACCTGGCCTCCAGAACTGTGAACGAGTAAATTTCTGTTGTTCTCAGCCACCAAGTTTATAGTAATTTATGTTATGACAGCTGTAGATAACTAATACATCCACCCAGTTAGTAATATGGAATTTAAATAATCTCATCAGTGGCAATATTAGAAACATTTATCTTCAGCCTGAAAATTAAAAAAACATTTAACATCCAAGGTTTTTAGTTTACAATTTCAGAACAATTGGAGATAGCATCTTCTTTTAATGCACTGCCCTTTTCTGGGTACTGTCACAGGGATGAATGCGTCCACTGTCAGCCACCAGTGAGATCCAGTAAGGTTCTCCCAAAGGTCAGTAAAACAACTGCACAGAGTAGGGTCTCAATTCACCTTAGATGATATATAATTGCTCTACAAAAAACTGTCTTTGTTTAAGTCCTCCTGCTGGACCAGCAGTTTATCACACAACTACAAGGTTCAAGAATTTAAGGCTCCAGATATGAAGTCTTATCATACTTATAGCATCATAAAGACAAGTTTTTCTAGTAGGCACTACTGGTAAGCTGTGGGTTACAAATTTCACTTTTTATTAATTCTAAGTTTCCCAAAAGAGGATTCCTTTAAGCCAAGATTTGTTTTTATTTCAAACTCAAACCACTTCCAGTACGCATGGCTAATTTAACACACCAGCCTGACAGAATGAGGCAACTTCTAGGGTAATTTCAGAATGGTTGCACATTTTTCCATTTTATCACCTTTGTGTCTTCAGCATGAACTAAAAATAGGTATTACATAGGATTAAAGGTAAACTTCTACCCCATTTATTTCCTATTAAACTGTTGTTAGAACATTTCTTAAGACTCAACAATTACTTGGGAAACCCAAAAGAAGTCAATTCAGATACTCCAAATAAACTGTTCCTCTGTTAGCATCTTTCCTGATTAAAAATAAAGGCAGTACAACTTAATACATCTCCAATAATTTAATATTATAAGTTACTGAGCAATTCGCAAGCATAACAATGAGAATACTGACCACAAAAGGTCACTTTCAAGGATTAATTTCCTAAAAAAGTCTGCCTCTCTCTATATTAAAAGCAATATTGACCTACCTTGTTTTCGAACATCTTCTACAGCAGCCACAAGCTCCTCCTTGAGAAATTGACTCTCCTTTGCAATTTTATCCCCCTTCTCCAAAAAATTCTCAGTTGCTTGTTCAACAGATGCAGCCAAAACATGGGCCTTCTTAGAACGGCCTCTCTTCTTATTCGAGGGCCCTTTACTATTGGTGTTTACCAGAGTTGTAACCTAAAAGTTTCATTTTTACAAATTAAACTGCAGTCGTTTAAAATGAAAACAACAGAAAGACTACCATCTTTAAAGACAGGGAAAATAAATTATTCATAACAAAATGAAACATCACATTTATGAATTCCACTAAGCATTAACAAATAACACATACTCTCTCCATATTTAAGAAATACTGCGGGGCGCCTGGGTGGCGCAGTCGGTTAAGCGTCCGACTTCAGCCAGGTCATGATCTCGCGGTCCGTGGGTTCGAGCCCCGCGTCAGGCTCTGGGCTGATGGCTCAGAGCCTGGAGCCTGTTTCCGATTCTGTGTCTCCCTCTCTCTGCCCTCCCCCGTTCATGCTCTGTCTTTCTCTGTCCCAAAAATAAATAAACGTTGAAAAAAAAAA